CCGGGCAGCCCAACTGACGAAGCGTGGGGTGAGGTGGCTTCTGCTGTTCACGGATTCAGCTCGTGGCCATTGTTCCGGCTAAGAAGTGACGTCCCGGCCTGCTGATTGTGTTTAAATATCTCTCGCCCTCTCTGTCTGCTTTAACTTAAGGTAAATTGTTTAGATTTTCGCAAAAGTCAATCGTGAAATGCTTTTCATTTCGTATTTGCTGCCAGTTTCTTTTCAATGTCAGGGCTATTGTTGTCTGGGCAATATATAGTTTCGAATATATATGTATTGGCTATATATATAAATAACTGCTTTTGATCAAATGTATTAAAAAATGCATTTAAAATATTTTTGAAAAACATTGCCAAAGAATTTTTATAAAGTTTTCTTGGGAATTTTTATGAGAAATTCTATGTCAGGAATGGAAGGAAGCAGTCGATCACATTTAATATAAAATTGTTTTTAGATTGCTCAAAATTCCGCAGAAACAAATAAAAAGAAGAATACAAAAGATGCTTCAATTTGTTAAAAATATTATAAAAATGTAAAAAGTGAACTCATATGATAAATCAGTCCACACTCGCCCACTCACAGTGTTCTACTTGCATTGAGCTTAGTTATTTTGCTTAATTCGTAAATCGGCTTCGCTTTGATTTATGACAATAGGTAACCCAAATGAAAGCAGCTGATGGATGTTATTCGCTCAATTTAGTTGCATTGTGAGTCACATTATTGGCTAAACGAATAGGTAAACTTTATTGTTATTCCAAATTTCAATTGCCGGCTTGGCGACTTGCCGCCCACCTCCTACCGACTGACGACTCTCGACTGTTTTCAATTAAGCGAGCCCCAAGCGCGTGTTTTCAATAAAAAATGTCTTACCCCGAATTCCCAAACAGAATGATAGACAGGCAGGCAGCCAGGCAGGCACTGCATGGGACTAGAGCTGAAATAGTCAAAAGCGAGTGGAAATTGAAATTCAAATACTAATTCGTATATATAATATATATCATTAAACAAAACAAAACAATTGCTCTGCAGCACGCATCCGATTTGTGCAGTGGCTCGTGGCTTCAATTAGCTAATGCCCGTCCAATGCCATGCAAAGATATAGATAGCTAGCTGGGCAGATGGAGAGGGCGCTCTGCCGCATAGCCTTGCCAGGCTGCTCGACCCTGTCCTTGCCTTGCCCTGAGCTGCACACAAGGACGATAAAGGTGACAGTTTGCGGCTGCAGCTCACCCACAGCGTGCTGTGCACGGCGCAGCTTCTCGGATTTCATGAGTCAAGCAGGTGTCGTCCGATATTTGCATAAGATTCGTTATATTCAATCTGTTTTGCTAAAGTGCGCAAATAAAAACACTTAAGAGATGAACGCGATTTCGCTATAAGCGCTCAATATAGGGTATACATCATAGTCCATTCCACCCACCTTGAGTGACAATTTCCCTTTAATATTTCTGTCAGCTGTCATCAAAATTGGCTCGCCAAATATCGGATATGACTAAGACGCATTGGCTGGGATAGCGACACAAGGAACAAGCCTACAAATTAAAATCTGTCAAATTCAAAGTACAGTGACTACACGCAAATGTGGACTGTGGAGAGACAAACTTATTCGAATAAAGTAAACACTCATTAATGTTGTCTGTAAACAAAAAAATCATAAATAAAAATTTTATTTGTATTTTATATTCTAAATTCCTTAAGAGAAAATAGAAACAAAATTCTAAATTCCTTAAAAGAAAATAGAAACAAAATTCTAAATTCCTTAAAAGAAAATAGAAACAAAGCTCTTCAGTTTAGTTAAGGCTGTAATCATCGAGTGTATACTGTAAAACGAATATGATAATATAAGTAAATAAATTTATGTATATATATATATTTACATGTATATATAAATAAATATATATAAATATTATATATTATATATATATATGAGTGTATTTCTTGAATATATGAAAACTTTTGATTGACAAACACGAAACAGTTTGCGAGTAAACACATAAACATATATAATATATTTTGTAGAATAGGCAAATTAATCAACAGGCGACTTAGAGACATGCGCTACGCTTTTTATTGGCACAAGTGACTCACGTGAAAGTCTTGTGATAGTTAAGTGAACTGTTAAAGCCCACCGGTTGCGACAGCAAAGGCTATAAAACTGCTGTTTTCGCTTGGAAAACGGAAAAAGTAGCTTAAAGTAAATTTTACCAAGCTGTCAAACTAACTTCATTTGCCTGCTTAATGTTGAGCTCGTGAAAATTGAAAATTGAAAATTGACTTAAGCACGACTGCAGCAATTTGTTGTCATCTCTAAAATCCGTTTTGCTTGCTCAATTTGCAGGCACTTGCCGCTTGTGAAAGGGTCTGTTATGCATTGCACGGGGCAGCCTCCATGCAAAGTCAATGCCAATGTCAAGGATGCAGAATTCAGGCAAACAATAGAAACGAGCCTGAATGGCGGCGCCCATTTGGCTGCCTGGCGTCCAGGGTCAAATAGTAACAACAGCAGCAGCAGCAGCAGCTAGTTGAAGGCTATGACTGAATAAATTATGATGCTTAAATGTTAAATGTGAAGTAGAATATGAGAGATCGTGTATATATATATCTATTTAATATGTAAGCTATATGCTTGAATATAGCTAAGGCAACGCGCTGGAACAGACAGAAGCAGGCTTATGTGAAGACAGCAAATTTGTCAATTATAATACCGATAGAAAATATGAATTTTAGTAGATTTTCATACAGAAGGTGAACAGATAGCACTTCTGCGCAAGGGTTCAGAGTATTTTCTAGTCGGCTACTCCCGACTACTCGTCATACATGAAGTCAAGAATGATTGAAAGGACAATTCTATGCAGAGTTCGGGAAGTCCTCACCATTACCCACTGAGTGTGTTTTACTATTGGAATCTTTGTGAATCTTTTTTAAAGAAATACTATTTAATTTATTATATGATTGACTTCGTACTTTATATTATATTAAAAACATCAAAAATACATAAATTTTCAGCTGGAAATATTGAGATAACAAAATATATAGTTAGAGACAGCGACATGCCTTAACGTGAAGTGTGCCACACCCCTTATCAGTGGCATTTTTGCGAGTGCTTAAGGTCTGTACGGTCTATTTAGGCGTATGCGTCATATATGTCGCCTCTCGCACTTTATCAGCGGCCCACGCTCCAGTCTGTCCGTCTGTCTATTTCTGTCTGTTTGATGTAAAAATATCAAATTGTTGCGTCACGATTCGAGCATTTTCCATAGCCATTGACATTTAACGACAGGACAAAAATGTTTTTCCCTTTTCTCAGATATATATATATATATATAATTTATATGTATCCGAAACGTGCCAAAATGTTTAAGGCAAAAAGTACGGCTTGCACATGTCAGAGACGTTGCTTCACTACTCACGCTATTTTATTGTTATATTCCGGCGATATCACCGTCCTGGTCTTACACTATCCGTGCCAATTGCAACGCGAACGTCACTTGTATCTAGAGTACGTCATTTCAGTGCAAGTTCTTGTTTTAGCCATGAATCTAATGCACTTGTGCTAGACAGCTTAAAGAGCTTAGAGCTTGTCAATTAAGCCACTGACTTTTGTGCAGTGTCCGTCTTGCTAATAAAAATAATACTGTCGTTGGTGTAGTCAGGTCTTAAAATGTAAAAAATATTTGGATACGCCCATTAAAGGCGTGAATAATCGGGAAACGGTATATATTTTTGAACTCAAAGCTAGAAACATTTGTATATATACTATATATATGTAGAGCACTCCCATTTGGAAATATACAGTAAATATATATATTAATACATAAGCTCAGAGCGTGGCAAACCAGAAGAAGCCATATCTCCTTTACTTTAGACCCCTCTTAAAATTGACCAATTATTAAACTATTCAGATTAGCCAGTTACGACAGTTTCAAAGGTCCCATACCTATATAATATATATGTTTATAATCTCAGCTCTAATGACCCTGGCAATGGAAAATGCTGTGATTAATTTGAAAGCTATATTTAGTCATTAGCTGTCCGTCAAAATAAAACCCGTTATGGAATCTGCCGCCTGTAGCTGATATCAGTTTTGCCCAACATGTAGATAGGGTCCGGCGTATAGAACTGCACACACCTATAGAAAGCTGTATTGCCGATAAGATGCGAACGATAAGGAACAGATCGCCACTTAACAAACAGCTGTTTTTTCCCTGTCTATGTCTCTTGCCTTGGCCGACAATTTAATTAGTTGACTTCGATAACCATTGGGCAAGTCAGCGCGGAAGCTTCAGAGGCGTAGAGAGGGCATAGGAGGTGTTCCATTGACTTCCGCAAGTAAATATTTGCAGCAACATTTTTATTGGACAAACAATTGGAGAGGAAAAAACAATTTGTAAGCGATTTGTACAATAATATATAATCTTGACAATAATTTCTTAGAATTGTTGTATGTTCAAATTTTAATATTTGTTATATTTTTGCTGCATTTTCCCAAGCAAATGTACATAAAAAGGTAATAAAGGCTTTCTGATAAGATGTCAAGTAGTTTTATTAATTGAGATTAGCACTTTTTTAATCAGAGTTTTAACTGCATATTTTTGTAAGCTTTGTATTGACCAAAGTCTGTTAAAATACATAACCTCTATCTAGTTCAAACTGGATAATGCGGATATATCTAGCATTTGCAAAACCCAGGACTTGTCTTCTATATTTGCGTTGGCCACCGCTCTTAGGCTGCGAGTAAAGAGTATTGCAGAAAAAGTATCTGAGTGCGGAGAGCGCAGCTGTTAAAAAGTATCTGAGAGCGCACACAGTTGTACATGTGTTGCTACTCGGACACACAGCTTCGACTTTGGGAAACGAACAAGTGCTGCGCGGCTATATGGTTGTCACGCTCGCACTCACACATAAAGGTTGGGTCGTTGGCACTAGTCGAAGCGACGCTTCTAGCACTAACTGCCTGGTAAAACATCTGAAATATATTTTGCATTCAGTTCAGCCCCTCAACTCGCTCGGAACGGACGTGTCCAACGCTTAACACTGGTAAATTGTGATAAAGTGCAGTCGCGCAAAATAAGCCTAAATCACGCCTGTGAGAAAATCAAATTTAATTGAGAAGCTAAAATTGTATATGTACTACATATATGTATGTGTATATGCAAACATAAGTGCAAAGCAGAAGCTAAAGTGTAACTGTGCTGGTATCCCCCACCCAGTCTCTGTGTCTGAGCGAGTATATATTTATATATATGCACGTTAGTGTGTGTGTGTGCTTTGTACAACACAGAAATTTTCACATATAAATTCGATGTGGAAAATTGAATTAAGAAATTCTGTGTGTCCATGCAAATGAATGAAAATTGAATTAAGAATTTATTACAAATAATTAAAAAACTGCAGAACTGTGCAAAGTGTATCAGTAAAGGTAAATTATTTTTTTTTTTTTTTTTTTTTTTTTTTTTTTTTTCGTTTTTATTTCTTTATTTTGTTGCAGCTTATTGTCTTAGACTCTATAGCGCATTTAGCTCTAAACCTTAACTAATGGGAGGGCAGATATGCCAATTATTCTGCACTTGTAGCTACTATCTTAATTAGTTCTAATATTGTCTAGAGGATGCAATCTCTTCAGTCTTCGCCTATTGTTGTTTATAGCCAGGTTGCTTGCGAGATGGTTAGGATGCGCTGCAAGTCTGTCCGCGTATCTTGAACTGTGTCGCCCAATGAGTTCAGCAACTGTGGGAATTGCTAAATCCCTATGTAAGACTGAGTTTCTTACAAACCAGCTGGCTCCAGTCCATCTGCGTAGTGCTTTATTCTGCAGGGTCTGAATTTTGTTCCTTGTAGTCTTCGCCGAGGAGCCCCATAGAGAGATACCATATACGAAGGTTGGGACAACTATTGCCTTGTAGATGGCGGCCTTGCTGCTGTAAGACAACTTGCTTGAAGCTCTCAGCATCCAGTCGAGGGTTTTTAGCTTGCTTTTGCATTTTGAGGTTACTTGACTTATGTGCGCTTTAAAAGTCAGCCTTCTGTCAAGAGTGATACCAAGGTACTTTACTTTTGAGGCTTTGGGAATAGTGGGCCCCAATGCAACGCTTGGGCAATCTCCTCTTCTAGTGGCGAAGGTAGTATGTACAGACTTTTGTGCATTAATGGTGATACACCACCGTTTTGCCCAGCGTCCGAAAGAGTCCAGATATTTTTGTAGTGAGTCTGAAGCTTCTTGCGCAGATACGTGACGTGATAAGATGGCGGTGTCATCTGCATAGGTCGCTATGAGTACTGCATCTGTACTTCCTATATTTGGCTCGGGAGTTGGCATATCTCCTGTGAATAAAGTATAAAGTGTTGGGCCTAGAACACTACCCTGTGGTACTCCAGCCATAATTGGTCTAGTCAAGGATACTGTTTGCCCCCTTGACACTTGGAAGGTTCTTCCAATAAGGTATGAGGATAGCAACGCGAAAAATGGGGCTGGAAGGGTGGTCCTCACTTTCTGCAGCAGTCCCAGGTGCCAAACTCGATCAAACGCCTGTTTGATGTCTAAAAAGACGGCAGAGCAGTACATCTTTTCTTCAAAGGCTCCAAGGATATGGTGCACAACTCTGTGAACCTGTTCCGGTGTTCCATGCTGTCTCCTGAAGCCAAACTGATGGTTTGGAATGGCCTCCTGGCGTCCCAGATGTGTCAGTACTCGTTCCAGAAATATTCTTTCGAATATTTTGGAGAGTACTGGCAACAGGCTAATTGGTCTGTACGACTCAATTTCTCCCACGGGTTTGCCAGGCTTAGGAATCATCACAATCACGGCGCGCTTCCAGCAGGCTGGAAAGTGCCGGATGCGGAGCATGGCGTTGTACACCATAGTTATGTAGTCTATGGTGGAGTCAGGCAGTGCTCTAAGGACTCTGCCGTTTATTAGATCATATCCAGGGGATTTTTTTGCCTTCACTCTTCTGATGTGTTCAAGAACCTCTTCTTTTGTACATCCAGTTATCTGGTCTTCAGCTGGGAGGGGCGAGAGAACGATGTCTTCTGTTGCTTCGATTTCTGAGGCCTCTGCGGTAATCACCGGCGTGAATTGGTCTTGAAGGTGGTTTGCAAAAGCCTCAGCTTGAGCTTCGTCTCCAATGTGCCAGGAACCAGAAATGCTCCGAATGGGATGACGTCGTATTGGCTGCCGTTTGAGCTTTCTTGTAAATTTCCATAATTGAAACTCTGCGTCAGTGGGCGATTCAGCTCGTACCAGCGCATCGCTGATACACCTCTTTTGAAGCAGGGCGAGAGCAGCTTTAAGATGCCTCGTGGCTTCGTTGTACATGGATTTGGCATCAGGCGTGCGTAATCTTAACCAGCGTCTCCTGGCCCATCTTTTGTGTATTAGTAGGTGTTGGGCCTCCAAGGTGAGGGGGATGTTGTACGGAGACTGTTGTCTTGTTTGGCAAGATGGTGGGGCGGCTTGGTGCGCAGCTTTGACTATTTCTTCCTGCAGTTTGTTTGCTGCGTAGTCCACGTCTTCAGGAGTGTTAAGTTCCATTTCTATGTGCAAAGAGTAATGGAGCTCGCGCCTAAAGACTCCTAAATCTGATCCTGCTGGCAGTAGTTGTTTCCTAATGGGCAAGGGCTGTGGCTGCGCGTGGATTGTGACTATTAGTGGCAGGTGGTCAGAGGATAGGTCCAAGGATTCTTCAATGGTCAATTGCCGGTCACAGATGCCTTTGTAGACAGCGAAGTCGATTGCCGAGGGCCTGTGTCCATTAATTGGGTAACGGGTGGGGGCTCCAGTCGCCAATATGCTGAATTGTAAGTTTTGAATCGCCTCAAATATGACTTCTCCGCGACGATTCGCACTATTGCTTCCCCAAAATGGGTGCCATCCATTCCAGTCGCCGCCGATGAGGGTCTTATTCAACCTTTGGCCTAGAACCTGTTCCATGTGATGATCACACAGACCAGTGTTTGGCGGAAGATAAATTGACGCAACTTCGATCGCTCCAATAGACGTAGGCAGGGTGATGGCTGAGACCTGCATTGTTGCGTTGCAAATTGGCAGTAAAGGTGTATGCGGTATTGTTGCTCGTATGAGGATTGAGGATCCACCAAAGCAGTTTGCTCCTTCACCATGAGCCTGATAGTGTTCGTATCCGAAAATTTGTGTAGTGGGGCACTCATGAGTTTCTGTTATTAACATTATATCTATGTTTTCTTGTGAGAGAAACGCAGCCAGTTCCTGAGTCTTGTTTCTCAGGCCATTGGCGTTCCAGATACCCACACGTAAAGCCATTATTTGTAGGCAAGCTTGGTTATGATGGCCATTAAACTGTTTAGCATGGTTGCTTGTTGGGATTGTACTTCTCGCATCGCTTTGAGCTCGGCATTAATTGCGTCAAACTGACGTTGTTGTTGCTGAAGCATTTCAGTGAACAAAGTGTCACTTGTGGTATTCTTATTTGACGGTCCACCTCTAGCGGCCTGTGCGTAAGAAACACCACTAATAGGCGTTGCAAAGCTCGTGGCTTGGGTAATGCTCCGGGGCCTTGTAATTTCGGAAGCAGTACTCGGACCCGTAGACGGTGTTTGTGTGGGACTCCTTTTTTGTGCTGGGGATTGCAATTTGCGCAACCGCTTGTATACTTGGCAGCCCTTATAGTTGGCTGGGTGCTGTAACTCACAGTGCACACAAGTTGGTGCCTGGTCCTTTTCGCGGGTGCAGTCTTTGGATGCGTGTTTCCCGGCGCAACGCACACATCTGGGAGCTTTGTGGCAGTAGCGTTGTGTGTGTCCAAATTCTTGACAGCGATGGCATTGTGTCAGGTCGTTGTATCTTCTTGGCAGTTCCACTGTGCAGCGTTGCCTGCAGACAACTCGAATGTCCAAAATTTCTTTGTTGTTGGGGGCCTGAGCCACGTCAACAAAAAATATATTTAGCGGTGTTTTGTCCATACGGCTCAGTGGGTTGTGCACATTTGTAATTGTGTGGCCTTTGGTTTCCAATTCCTTTTTAATTAGTGTTGTATCAGTGCTGGAGTGAAGCCCTTTGAACACGACTCTATATGGTTTGTCCTCCTTAAGCTGGTAGCAGTGGAACTCCAATTCCAGCTTAGTAAAGTGGTCTATAACTCTGCGATAGTCCTCACTGCATTGGGTTAATACACCTATGTTATTCTTCTTTGGCTTAATTACGTATGATTTAGCATCAATTACTTTATCTATTATCTGTTGAAGTAGGGCCACAGACTTGATGTTTGGACACCATATGGGGGGCGGACGAGGTTTCGGAGTAGTTTGCTGGTCGGTCAATACTGGGGCTTCTGGAGCTACAGGTGATTCGCTGTAGTCTTCATCTTCTTCTACGAGCAGTGAAAATCGATTTTCTGATATTAATGCTGCATTGCTGGTGCTTGGTTCGTCGAAGATGAGCCTTTTCTTGATGGTTTTTGGTGAATTTGGCTGTTTACGTTTCGTGTTTTTGTTGTTAGTGATGCCTTGCACGGAGGCGATATCTATTTTTGAGTTTATTGGCATGATGGAGGCTTGCCTATTTGCCATCACAACGTTAAGCTGGGCTTGCATTTCTGCATTTACCTTTACAGCTGTAGCGAGGTTATTGACATTAGATGTCATCGCGGATTGTGCTTTTGAGTGCAGGCGCACTCGCGCCAAGCGACGAAATTTCGTAAATTGCAATTAAAGCAATTGAGTTACGCGGAAGCAAGCGATAAGAAAACGCTGCGTGTGCGGTTTTTGTTGCTGTTGCGTTGAAGAATGCACCGCAAAGTTCTATTTTTAGAACTCTGCAGCAGTAGAGCTTAAGCGAAGGCTGTTCGAATTCACGTCTTTACAGGTCGAACGACTGATCGCGATTGATGAAAGGTAAATTATTATTTTATTGAACTGAAGCCAAAAACGTTTAGAAATTTTTTTCGGTTGCGTGCCCTTTGCAAATGTGATTGTATGCGTGTGCGTTGTGTGATTGCATGCGCTGGTATTAGTAAACTTTTTTTTTTTTTTTTTTTTTTTTTTTTTTTTATCTTTATTTTGTTGCAGCTTATTGTCTTAGACTCTATAGCGCATTTAGCTCTAAACCTTAACTAATGGGAGGGCAGATATGCCAATTATTCTGCACTTGTAGCTACTATCTTAATTAGTTCTAATATTGTCTAGAGGATGCAATCTCTTCAGTCTTCGCCTATTGTTGTTTATAGCCAGGTTGCTTGCGAGATGGTTAGGATGCGCTGCAAGTCTGTCCGCGTATCTTGAACTGTGTCGCCCAATGAGTTCAGCAACTGTGGGAATTGCTAAATCCCTATGTAAGACTGAGTTTCTTACAAACCAGCTGGCTCCAGTCCATCTGCGTAGTGCTTTATTCTGCAGGGTCTGAATTTTGTTCCTTGTAGTCTTCGCCGAGGAGCCCCATAGAGAGAT